TTGACATGACATGCAGACATTTTGATTTTTTTGGACGGATTTTTAACACATTTTGCGGACATGCTAAGACATTTGCAGACACATTGACCTTACATACTTAACATATGAAAGAATAAACATGACAATAACATTAGGTACCCACCGGATACTTTTAAGCACACAATTAGCATGACGCTATAAGTAATGTGTTAAGGTACCTGCTACCTAGTATACCAATAGTTAAGATAATTGTTCTGTACTTAGTTGGTCCAGTATTCCCTCTTTGCTCATACGCATTGAGCGGCCTCAGAGGAGCAATGGGCGGCGGAGGGGGAGCTCAAGTCAGCTTTGGCGGTTCAGCCCCCCCCCGAAATTATATAAAGCGACATACCGGGGAGTACAAAGCGAGCGACCTAAAACGAGGCAATGTTCTACTAGGCATGCACGCTAATTAAGAGATTGTCAAATAGGTACCGACGCACACACTTGTCATACGAATGTCAACTCGTCTAGTTTGAAAATAGATTCCTGACGGGTACCGAGAGCTGTACTGGCCAGTGGCAGACGATTCCAGGAAAGGGCCGCGCGGTACGAGAACGGCCGGCCCAACGAAAGGCGGAAAACGGGGGGGGGGGGGCTCCAGCCAATCCACCACCGACACAGGGTGGCACGCCAAGAACCGGCGGTACGTGGGGAAAACAGGGTCGGATTGCTCCTGGATCCCACGGATGGTTCAAACACCTCTGGACGGCAATGTGATCGGGTTCAGCATTTGGCCCCAAATCACGTCACGTGACGACACGTCACGTGACACAGCTACCAGCCACGCCACGTCACGCCGCTCCGCCGCCGCGAGACGCCCAGTCAGCCATTCAGCCAGCATTTTGATATGCCCACAGTTTGCGTGTCGCGATTTACCGGTGCCAGGCTCAAATATGACCCGTTGGTATTTCGCCACTCTGCCATTCGTTGGTATGACGCATCGATGTTTTGTTAAAACGCCTTTTTGCAGTTAACCAATTAGCCGTTCGCCAGTTTGACGTGTCGACTTTTTAGCATGTCGCCATTTTGCAGCTCGTCATTCGGTCTTTTGGCCGTGTAATGTCAATTTTCTTAGGTGTCGCCTTTTGCAGTTAACCATTTAGCCGTTTCGACTTTTTGCCGCGTGGCGTTTATATGATGCCACTCCGCAGTCGCCATTCAGCGGACAACAAAAAGGCGCTCGCCAAGTGGTATTTTCGACATTTGGCCTTCCGAAGTCCGCGAGTGACATAAAACGCCTGAACAAGCCGTGCGCTTACGTCATCTAGTGAAAAAGTCACAACTAGAAATGGTGAACCGACCCGCGCTTACGCGGTCTGGGCACGTTAACCAGGAAAAGTAGTGCCACCTCGTGGTCGAGCTGAAAACAATGGTTCAGGCGAAGACCGTACGATCTGGCGGTCACCTCCGGTGATGCTTGGTAATGCGCCTCTAATGCAGGCAGTCCGTGGAAGGGCGTGACGCGATTTTCTGGTCCAAACTCCCGGCCTCATATTTTATAGGCTAATGCTTCCACTGCCGGAACTATCCATGTCATCACCTTTCACTTATCATAATTGAATAACATCTGCCACAGAGAAGCTCAGTGTAGGGTTGTTTTCTTTTTTAACCGACTAGTTTTTCCAGGGCAAGTTTCACCTGGGCAGCAATTTTCGATTCCCTATCAATTTAGTATCATGAGGAAATTTAAGCGAATTACTCTCTAGTCCCATTTGAATATTATTCACACAAAAATGGAGAGCAAAGAGCCGAACACAGAGCCCTGTGTAATCACACTTTCGACTAGCTCCAGCTTACTTTTAGTACCATTGAGCACTGCTCTTAACTTTCTGCCTTGCAGCGAAGCCCTTACCCAGCCAATAATTTTTCTCTCAATGACATGCAATTTTAACTGATATAGTGGACGTTGGCGTGGCACCTTATCAAACGATTTACTAAGACCTAGATAGACGACATCTAAACTATTGCCTTGATTTGTCTGACTAGTAACATGCTCCATCAACTCCTCCAACCGGTTGGTCAAACAGGACCTACCAGAAAGAAAATGACGCTGACTACTATGAGCTGATGCCTATCTAAGCACAACTGAATGCTTGCATAAATTGTTTTTATCTAAGGTCTTTTATACTAGTGAGGTACTTTATACTTTTATACTGACGAGCCTGTAGTTGCTAACTCTTTTTAGGTCCGCTTATTGCATATCGGTACTATATTGGCACTGCGCTAGCCCTCTGGTGTTCCTGAAAAAACTCAATGACCTATTAGTTATCAACCGGAGAGGAAAAGCTAAACCTCTCGCGCATTCATTCAGCACTATATCATATATCTGGTCAGGTCTGGCCGCGTTATTAACCTTGATATCCTTCAAGCCATCCCTTACTATACCTTCGGCCACCGTCAAATCTAAAAACCGTCTTTAGTGACGTTTTGTCTATTACCAGGGAGATCAAACACAGTCTCCTTTCTAAAAAATGAAGAGAACTGCCCACTAAGAGCATCTACAATATCCCTGTCCTCCACTATTGACTTTGCATCTTCCTCGAGGGGGCCAACAATCATATTCACCCGACATTCATATTTTTCTTGGCCTTGATCGCCGCATGGCTTATAGACTGACAAGATTGAATGACACTTGTATGGCGTCATGGATACCAAGGTGACCTTGGAACAGTTTTCCCAGAATACTTTGCATATCTTCGCGGGCATGAAGCTCAGAAATTAGATGCGTTTAGGTCTTAAGGACAGGGTCGTAAGTTGCACCGAAAATTCTTGAAAATAGCGATTTCATTCCAAAACGCCCTGCAAGTGTGGAACACCCCCTTTAACTACACAGTTCTGTTCATTGCTTATTACCCACATCCAAAGCCCTCCGTGGGCTTGCCATCGTGGTGAAAAATTCCCACGGCAGGCTCCAGCGGCTTCCCATCGTTTCGCGAGTATTGCGCGGAAAGTAGCCATTCCCACCTACGCCATGGCTCTCATGTTTATCTAAGGAGCAGGCGTGAGGCATTTCGCGCCATGCCGTTGAGTGATTCTCCGGAACGGACGCCGAAAGCCTCGTGGCGCGATTTGCAGGCGCGGGGATACTGCGCCGCGGAAGGCTTCCACGAGAGGCTGGCCGCCATAGGTGGCGTCGTAACTAAAAAAAGAGTCCCGTGACTCGTTGCTCAGTTCCTTCAGAAAGGTACTTCCGTCACTCGTTACTCTGTCACTAAAGATCATATATAACGGAAATTCCTTTTTGCGTCACTTCGTTTCTAAAACAATGCTTACAAGCCAAAAAGACGTCTTAACACTTTTGATAAGCCAGTTGTATGTCGCTATAGTGATCGTGCGAAATTTGAGCCGCCTGCATGCATCTGAGAGTCATAGCATGGTTCTCACCGTGTTCTCCATAACTGCGCTATCGTGAAGCATGAACATAACACAGCGCACATGAAATTTGGCACACGTGTTCCCAACGCTACTCCTCTTTGTATCTGCTCTGGCTGTCCGTACAAGTTTGCAACTTAAAAGGTTTTGAAGAAAACGATTTCGCTCGCACGCTCTTCAGCGGTTCCATTTGGAGGTGACGTCACTACGATATTTCTCACGTCGGCGTGTGGTGACCTGAATTTTGGTGACCTGACCAGCAGTTTTTCTCGTCCGTGTGTGTAAAAATGATAACAAGACCGGTGGCTAAAAGTTTTTTTACGATGCAAAAATTGCTTTTGACCTGGTATAACAGCATCAAGTTATGTGTTTGGTAAAATAAAACGTCATAAAGCCGCGATGTCTCGCTGCGGCCAGCCCCCTGTTTATCCGCAAGGCTCCAGCCTAATGTATACCTGAGGGGGTACAAATCGTACAGGTATACAGGGATACAGGCACAAATCTGTCATGCGACGTTGTCTGAAAAATGAGTCTATTGCTGAACTGAAGTTGAGCTAAATTTATGCCGTTTTGTACATTTTTGACCGCAAAGAAGCCTTTCTAGAGATAGAACAATGCACATATAGTCAAAGGAGACATGGACGAAAGGTCAGGAGGAAGGTTGATGGGGTAGGGGAAGGTGAGCAGTGCGTCCACAGTCCCCCTTTTTTGACAATATTTGACATTAACCTTTTGGCAATGAGTATCAATATTCGACTTAAAAGCTATAAAGCTGGCGTCGACATCAATAGCTGTTGAACTGCTTTAGCATGCGTGCCTAATCCATGTGAACTTTGCATTAAGACGCATTAGTCGTGAACGGTTCGTTCCTCATGTGAGTGTAGGCCAAAAAGCCTTATATCTCGATACTCGTGCATTTTTACGCAGTCAAAACAACACGTTATCCACCTTTCCAAATTCTTAATATTTGCGGCCGTCACATCTAATTACTTCCAGAAGTAAAACACATGGCAAAACGATGCTTGTTTTGCAACCTTCATCGACGTTAGATTCCTGAAGTGCATGCGCCTAAGGACAAAAAAAAAAAACGGAATAATGGAGTAGCGGTCTGCGTTATAACGTAGTAGCGCACCATAAAAGTAACTGTAGGTACTCGGTCTTTGCAATGCTTCCGTTTGTACATAACGATGCTTTTTTTCTAAGTAACACAGTGATGCACCGCGTTTACCTATGCTGCTGCCCAACCTCGCGACGCATCGCGTTTCGCAGCAAATGCTCCCTCGGCACTGCACGACTTTGACATTTGACTTGCCTTGTTTTGCATGCTTTGCTTTGCTTTGACATCGCTCGCTGGTATTTCACGTGCTGTTCTCCTATCTGGTTCACGTTTGGGCTGTCTGTATGAGGTCTAGCGTCGCGCAGAGAGCGTTGATGCTGAACCTAATCGCGCCCTGAATAACCAAGAAAAGAGCGTCTTCCACCTATGGCCACCGCGACCGCCGCGCAGACACTCGAGCCGCCCCGCTCTCGCCCCGCCCCTCCCCTCCCTGATTTCGGCCATGGCCGCAAGATACCCCGGATAAGCGCCGCCTCGCGGACCTAGCCCTGCCTTACGAACCTAGCGTCTGTCGCCGCTGGACCACCGGGCACGCAGCACCGCAGGTCAACGTCGGACGCGTCGCCATGGACTTCACCGCCGTCGTGGCCGTCGTGGCCTTCTGCTTGTTCTTGTACTACTCGACGCGGAAGCCGCCCAACTACCCTCCAGGTGACGGCACTGGGGACGGGCGGAGGTGGGGCGGGAGTGATGTGATGATGGCGCTGATGTGAAGCTAGGATGGTGTCAGGAGCGTTCGAGGTGATGACGAACTGTAACGGCGACGTCAATGATAGGACTGAGCTGGTGGCGCGTCGGCGAGGGGAAGCATTTTCGATCGCGGTGGGAGGCCGCTACATTTCTGGAAAAATATTTATAGTGCGCTTTTTGTAGAGATTTGTCTTAAGTGACTCTCCATTCTACCTATCTCCACGACATTGCAGATGGACATTGATGAAACCACGGCCAATGAAATGAAACCCTCCCACATGCTACAGTTTTGTCTGCGAGTGGATGTCGAGGAATTTTGCCATTCCCATGTTTACTGAGCTGGTCACCTCGATAGTGTTGGTCGTTATTGGGTCCAGTGTTGATCCCTAATCCGCGTGATAAACATGACGGACAACTAAGCCCGCGTCGAACGGTGAGCCTCATGAAGTTCACAGGTACGTGCGATGCATTGGAAGTGACAATGCACTCGAGCTATGAGTCCGATGGCGCTGATTAATGGCTTCAATGCTAGTGTCTGATGATCCTGATGGTGATGACTGATGAGCCTGATGGCGTCTGTGTTTGCAGGCCCTTTCCGCATGCCAATCGTCGGCACGCTCTGGAGAACCCACCTCAATATGTCAATTCCAATCACAGAACGACACAGGAACATGATAAAGATCTACGGAAAGGTGCGTGAACCTGACAAAGCTCCACGGGAAGGTAAGTGGCAGTATGATAAACTTCGACCATCGCTTGGAACTAAGCTCTTCACAAAAGTTCGTGTTTGGTAACTCGCGCCTGAGATAGCGTACCGCTGTCGCGCGGATAACTGTGCTCTCGGTTATGCCTTCATGAAACGATGGCCACGTTTCAGAAAGTATGTCGAACGCTTCCACGGGCCTCTTATGGCTCAGCGTGATTACACAAAAAATGTGCAGCGAATAACCGCAGACACCAACTAGAATGTGCCCGCTCTGTCCGGTGAACACTTTCGCTTCCGTTTTTTTAGTTAGCCAGGAATATGAAAGATCTTTTCGCGCTGCTTCACAAACACACATTCTCGTGTCAGGTAGATTAATACTCTTTGATGAGATGTAGTCTGGTGTTTCCGAACGGATTGGGACAAGCAATGCGCAGGAAGTTGACCTACAAATATGATGAATTGGCTACACTGTCCTCAAAGCAAGCTAGCGGCAAGGACTTAAGACCGTCTCTCTTCGACTCTAAAGCGGCGCCCGTTTGGCTGCATTTCTGTGCAGAGGAAACACGTGCTTTCCGTACGCGAGAAAATCCTCCGACACCTCATTTCAGCGGCCTTTTTGAGCAGTCATCTGTCGCTGAAAGTCTTTTGTCCACCTAGCCCTCCCCCTCCCCATACGTGACGTTTCATTACGCCTCGCCGCGCCGGACCGGATTGTACAGGCGGTCGTCGTTTGCTGGATTCCGAGCTGCGGCGGCCTCGCCGGTAATGAGGTAGCCGGCTCTACGGTGAGATGTTCAGCCCAGGTCCCGCACCTGTGGCCGCCTCTTCCGACCGAGCGCCGAACCCAGTCATCACCGCCTTTTTACGAAGCAAATGGCAGCAGCTTTGGGACGCGGTGACCACCAGGAAGCTCCGGGCAAGGAAGCCGCGACAGCGGCGTGGCAGTCGTCCTCGCTGAGACGCGGCGAGGGGAGGGGCTTCTGTACAGATTGCGCGCTGGCCACACACATGCGACGCATGGGTATGCGACGGCGGGTGCTTTGCCGGGTGACCGACCCACCTGTCCAAACCGCAACTCCCCAATTCCCACGCCTTTTATGTGTTAGCCTTGCGTGCCTATTTTGTTGAAGAACACATCCTTTATTTTCGGCGGCATGCTGGAGTCCCCAACTCGCCTCTTAACGAGGCTTTTGCAAACTGCTCTTGCAAAACCGAGGTTGTTGAGAACATTCACCATGAACGTAACGTGCTGCCATCGTGCATCCGCCGACACACTCGGTTTAAAGTCTGAAGAAACAAGCTAGTGCCAGGCATTTGCTTAGTACCAGTGTTTCAATCCGCTCTTAAAGGGAGTGTACCACATTTATGTGGGGCTTTGAATGAAACAGCCATCTTGAAGACCCTTCGTTGCCGTTTAAATCCTGTCGTTCTTAATAACTAAGTCCCTCTAGTTTTTCAGCTACACGGCGGGGAAAATGTGGAGGTTGCCTCTGAGAGAGTATTTCAAAGTCGCCTTGCCTTTCATAACGTCATAAAAGCGCCATTCGAATCCTGCCATTTCATAAGCCATGCGGCCATCAAGGCCAATAAGAATGCAACTGTCAAGACGTTCATACATGGCATTTATGAGCGCGATTTCCAGACATAACGGCCGTCAATTGTCTCTCAGTCAATGCTGTGCAAGGTTGGCAGTTGCAGCAAAGTAGTAGGTGACGTTATCAAACCATAACAACGTATTGAGGAGCATACTTAGTAAGCAGATAATCGCGCTATATAAAGTAGCCCTTTCCACTTAAAAGTATACCACTCGTTACAAGTGAGCTGATTTCGTCATATGTGATACTAGTTTAAATATCTCCAAGTGCGAAATATTTCCTTTAATGTGCCGTCGTCCACAAGCCAGGGGCAGCCTGGCCTCCATCCAAGGTCTGTGGGGACGCTCTGTTTCTCGTCCATCGCACTGTTCTAATGTCTTCTGGTGGGGATAAGAAAGGTTTCGTTGCTCCTGAGTGCTCAACATTGCTTGCGGTGAAAACGAGCTGATATTCACTACATGTGCCTGCGAAGATGAGCAAACCATCACGCAATCGGCGACACGAAACCTCTTCAGATGCAAGACATCGTAATCCACTTACTTAAGTCGGCCCTGAATTGCACGTGCTTTCCACACTCCACGATCCCACTTCATCCGAGAGTCGATAGTGTGTTTACCACTTCACCTGAAGCGCGGGAATCCCACGTAGACTTTGAAAACCAGACCACTTATCACTCCGGTGCACAGGGACCGGGAGCACTGCCGTTCGATGACCTTTGTGCCAGTCGCACTACCACCCGGCTATGAACAGTTTTCCACAGCTTTTCAACCGCTTTCCACATGTTTTCGACCGCTTTCCACATCTTTTAACTTGCCCTGAGACTTGTCCCGACTGGACAGAGCAGGCGTATTTCTTCTTGAAGGCAGTGGAAGGCTGGCGCTTCGAAGATAGCGAATGGAATGGCTTGCGTTTTCTTGCGGATTGTCAAAGGCTGGATGCAAGCGGTCGTTTTCCGTCGGGACATAATAAACAGCCAGCGATGGAAACATATTCATCGTACCGCAAACTTATCGATATATGATAACGGCTTATTCTACCACCCAGAAGAAAAACAGAGCAAGGCTGCCCGTTTCCTACACGATATACCGCTCTCCATTAATGCTATTCCTTTTGCATCAGTTGTACTGTCATCGTCACGTTTTTAAGGCTCGGTTGTACGATATATAATGACAGACATGCAACCATGAAGATACACGTCACCCGTCACGTCACGCGTCACACGTCATTCAGTATGCACGGAAGCCTCGCCAATCGATGCAAAAAATAAGCACTGGTCTTCTAGCCACTGGATCGATTGTCGTCAGAAGACATACAAGTGACCCCGTCACAGCACACTGGGGTCACGCCTGAGAAGGTAAGCACCTATCCATCCTCCCGCAGGCCGAAGTGACGATAGCTACGATAGTTGCGATAGTTACAATAGCAGACTGAGTTAACTGATAGCTGCCGCCAGTTTTGACAGCAGAGCAAGAGCTCAAATCCGCCAAAGCCCTCAGCAGGCTCACCCGGGCGGTAGACAAGGAGAGCAAAGAACCCTCAAAAAGCCTCGGTGCATGCGATGTGAAGAGAGGACAGACTGCAGACCTTTCTGAGCACAGCAGGTCGAGCCTCTTCCGGTATTGGTGGGACTCACAGAGCCCCGAGAACGGCTACATTGTGCGCCCGCCGGGACAGCCCCCTGCTACTTTTAAGTCGTCGTTAAGCATTACTCATCTACAAAAAAGTACTCAAGCTCATTTACTTTATTTCCTGTCAGTTTCGTAAGCTGTTCAGTCTATTAGCGAGGAACGTTGTTCACGTAGATAAACCAGCAGTATTAGTCTTATTCCTCGGACAAAACCAGAAGAATGGAAATATAGTTGGATGGATATTTCGGCAACATGCCTTTATCGAAATAGTAGCAGAAGTTCAATAGCTTCTGTTATCGTTTCTATAAAGGCATGCTGCCAAAATAACAACCCAACTTTAAATCCTTTCTCCTGTTTTTTTTCCCTGCGGAATAAGGCTTATACTACTGCCCTATCCCGCCAATATCACGTAAATGCTAACAAAGTGTGTCGATTCAAGTGAACGAAGCAGGGTAGCAGTTCGAACAATCGAGATATCGGCTGAAGCCGATCCGGTCAGACCCAATCAGACCGAAATCGCAGCAGGTGGGTGTCGTCTCGTTTTCACCCCTGTCTGCCCGTTTTTGTGTTCAAAGTCATTTCGGATAACACAAGATTCAGGATCCTTTGTTAAATCCGGGACATCGTAAAAGAAATTCAGCTGAGGCCCTTCCGCACGAAGGCGAGTTAGCCACCATCTGTTGTACGCTTCGCGCTTCAATTTGTGCTGTCATCGATGACATTCCTGTTTGCTTTATTACACTAAAGTACCATCAAAAAGGTTAAGTAGCGGTATAAGACGCCCGGAAGTTAACATTTCGGACGGCATGATAAATGTATTTCTTAACCCGGTAAAGTGCCCGTTTCAAAGACAAAAAAAGTTCGCACTCACCCCTAGCTGTCATGCAAAGCCTCCATAATACCTCGATTGGCAGCCATTTCTCGGCATTTTTCAGAAACGCGCATTCCATTAACGTCAATCCAAGCTTCAGCGCTGGTGACGAAATGGCGGCTTGCTTGCGACAGAAGCGTATATCCACATTACTGCACCAGGGTGGATTCAATGTGTTCTTCGCCATAAAATATTATGCGCATTGATTCATGAATATGCATCTGTTGCGTCAATCATTTGGAGGGTCCTGCAATGGAGGGAGTTGTACCACATGGTTATAACACACTACAGGCTTATATTTATAGAGTGAAAAAACAATTTTTGCGATGAGAGAAGACCTGTGCATTTGTCCAGTTCCACCCTCACCATCAATCCCATTAAATTTAGAGAACAAAAGAAGATCTTCACGCAAAAACATGCTGACAAATCTAAGAACACAGAAAGCACACCAACTGCTATCGAGCGCGGGTGCCAAACCGGCCTAGGAGCGGAAGAACAGCTGGCGAAAGCGCCGCTGAAGTGCCCGGCGCGTCGCCCGTCACGCTCCGCGCCTCCGTGAAACGTTTGGCGACAATGTACCGGCCTGCAGCCGACTGCTGGCTCCTGCCGCGCCGGCATTCTTACCGTCGCCGCAAGGCTCGGCCCGGACCCCCAAACCGCCTCTGCGTGGTAGAGTGGACGCCCGCCCGGGTCCTGAGAACGGGACCGGTCTGCGCAGCCTCCTGAGCCTAATCACCAGTCGGGCGGAATGTGTGCTGGTGGCGTGCGGCGGCTTTCGCTGATGAAGTCGGTGCGTTTGTCACATTGACTCGTTTGGAAGGCATTCCGGATTTCAGCAAATTCTATGGCCGGTTAGCGCTTTCCGCGAGTGCCGCTGACTAAGCGCGCGGTGTGTGGGCGCGAGCTCCTCCAACCAGTTGCGATTTTCTCCGTGCGTTCCAATTACTTGCGATTTCCTTCGCCTATGCTTGCCAACGTCACGCTGTCCTCTTGTTTATCGGGCCAGGGCGTGTCAAGAGGCGGGCCAGATGGGGAACACGGACGATTGTCGACCGCGTGCGCGCTTCGTGCCGACATTACGCCTTGGGTTGGGCGCGCTACGTGGATCAGCACCCTCCTTTCGGCTGATGAGCCATACGTGGTCTGTGTACAACCCTGATAAAATTCATGTGAGCCAGCCCTTTGAACATTGACTTGTTTGTTTGCAACCTATCTGATTACTATCAGATTACTGGCATGTCTATCGCATAGACATGCCAGTAATCATAACATTGTAATGCAGATGTACTCGCCCGTTGGAAGGTACTTGTATTTTTATGTCAAAATTCCAAAATATTATTTACCGAAATAATCATGCCAAACCGATATATAATGCCAAAAAATACCTGGATTCATCAGGTGGCCGAAACATCCATGGTTGGACAAAAGCTGTAAGCTGATCGGTGCAAGGTTGCGCAAAATGGTAATGTGGTTAAGAGACCTTGAATGCCAAAGTCTGGCGCAAATACCCAATGCACAACAACCAAGTCCTTAAAACTCAATAATAACAAACTTAATGTCAAATTCCATCACATAAATCTCGTAAGGATGAAATGCGGAGCTGCTCACTTAGGAAGATGCGCTGGAAGGAAGCCTAATAATCCTACTGATCTACTTTTACGACAGTTTGTCATGAGATTCCTCCGTTTCTGGTTCATTACTAGCATGCCGTCATGAACGATAACGCGCAGAATAATGCGCCGCCAATCGAAGCGGCATACCACGATGAAGATGCAGCGAAGTTTTCCTGCATAACAGTCAACCACCGGGCCAGATAACAGATGAGGTGCTCCGTGAGCTAGTGCTGTAATGGAACGTTCAAACGTTGGAGGGTGTTGGGTGAGTAGAGGTGCGATGTAAGCGTCCTTGCCGTGGCCAGGTGGGCAACCTTATCTTCCGGGCTGTGCCACGATTACCGCGGCTGCCCGGCTTATCGGCATCCCAAATCTGGCGTCGATAACATTGGAAAAACCAAGATTCTAATCATCGACTACGACGATCTGATCTTGACTTGATCTATCTCAAGGCTGAGATATCACCTGGATGCCGCACTTTGGCGCCCCTGACGACGCCGCGGGCTCAGAACTCCGCAACTCCCACCCCGTGCTGTGCTGGGACGCGGCACACATCTCAGCCGGCGCTGTTGCTGGGAGACATGGACCTTGCGACCTTCAGTGTAATCACAGCTGATGGTTATCGATAAACGGTCTGACCTCCGTTAGGACCTGTGTTTTGCGCGGCATAGGCATGCAGGCGGATAATGCACAAACAAGGGTATAGGATACAGTCGCGAATGTTTAATCAAAGCGGTAGAAAGATTCGACACGATAAAACTCCGCGTTAAAAGAGACGGTGTCAACGGCCGCTGCATGACTTAGGGATTCCAATCCAGTGAGGGGCCTCTTTATCCCAGCACAGGGTCTCCTGATCTGAAACAGGGGCACTGTGGAACAAACGGTCTCTTGATACATAAAGAGACCTCCTGGCACAGAGCGGGAGCGTTCTGATTTTAAGAGGGTGCCTTCTTTGTTTGGAACAGGAGCCTTTTTCACTGAGGAGACCTTCCGAGCCAGTAACATCCCTAGCACCAAACGAGACCGCTGATCCAGAGAAGGACCCAACTAATCCCTGAAAGAGGCTTCCTGATCCAGAAAAGTGGTCTCTTGACGCAAAAAGCCTCCGGAGTCCAGCTGAGGATATCATATCTAAGCTCAACGGCGTCACCCCAGGGCATAGCTCCCTCACCAAAATTATATATAATATTAATATTAATATTAATATTAATATTATGGCATGCATAAATGTATATGTACATGGCTGAATGTTGTTAGGTGAGAATACGTAACCACATGACAGACACATAATAAAAGAAAGATGGGGGACGTCATGTTCCTTTACGACGCGTAAAAAGCTACACGTTTCTGCGATGCACTGAGCTCAGTTTTCAGTGGAAGCTTTTGATCTGTGCCTTACACTGTAAAATTCTGCGCACATTCCTATCTCAATAACGGGTCTTTCTCGACCTGAATTTTGATGGCATATGTATAACTTTAAAACTTCGGCAGTTCAAACAGTCTCCCAAGATGCGGGTGTCAAGAAAACGCCCTTTTCCCATGCCGGGAGGCAGTTGATAACCACCTCCCTTCCCTTGCTTGCGCCTTCCCCCCCCCCCCCCTGCTGCGCTGCCCCCGGCTCCGCGTCCAACAAAATGCCCCATTTTGTTTGTCTAGCCCATAAAGACATTTTAAAGACATAGAAAAGGACATGTAAAAGAAGTGTAGAAAAAGCGTAAAAGCGTTGTGATGGTGATGACACATCGTGGACAACACCAGTGAATATCACCGTCGCTGACAACGCGCTATCGGCCGGTTGTCCTTTATCAAACCTGAAATTTTTGTGTGAAGAAAAAAATGTCACCAACCGCACCATGCACGTTAATCACACAGTGCCTGAGCTAGGGCACCAAAGCTCAGCTAAGTTCATTATCTTCCTCAGGTCCTGGGCACCTACATCATGTCAAACCCGTCTGTTCATATCGCCGACTTCGACTTGGCCAAGGAGGTGTTCAACAAGAGAGAATCCACCGGACGGCCGAAGATCGACATCGCTCGAATCCGGACTCACGGGAAACTGAGAGGTCAGTGGTCACGGACCCAAGGGAAACTGAGAGGTCAGCGGTCACGGACTCACGGGAAACTGAGAGGTCAGCGGTCACGGACTCACGGGAAACTGAGAGTTCAGTAGTCACGGACTCACGGGGAACTATGAGGCCTGTGGTCAAAGACTCAAGAAACGATTCCAGTGCTGTATGGCTTCTTCTCACACTCAGTTGTTGCATCCGGGATGAAAGAAGTTGGGGGGGGGGGGGGGGCAATGTGATCCCTTGGCGTTTTCGAAGTAATGAAGACAGCCTCGCGGAAGAGAACAGTGGATTAGTCTCAAAGTAAGTGTTCCATATTAATACGGGGTTTTGAACTGAAATAAACGTCTTGAAGACCTTTCAGTGCTGTTCACAACCCTGCCATTCTTGACACCTACACTCCATTGGTTCCTGAGCTACACATCAGCAAAAATCGGGGGATATTTCGGGGAAAGTACTTCAAAGTCACCTTGGTATTCATGACATCAAAATAACGTCATTCATATCCTGCCAGTCCATAAGCCATGCGGCTACCAATACCAATAATATGCAAAATGTGAACGTCAATGCTAATGATATAACGCCTCGACAAAATCTGATGGTCGAGGCGTTCATATCCGGCGTTCATGAGCACAATTTCCAAATATAACGACCGTCAAATAGAACTCAATCAGTGTTGTGCATTTCACAATGATGTAATCAAACTATGACGCATTGAGGATCATATTTACTAAACAGAGAATTGTGCTATCTAGAGCAGCTTTTCCATTTGAAAAGCAAAACACTGTTAAACGTGAGCTTGTTTCATCATATCTGATGTTTGCTTCAATATCGTTAGATGTGAAACATCCCCTTTGACGAGATCTCGCGATTGATAAAGGGTTGTTGCTAGCTATGTTTCTAGGTCAATAATGGCTTCCACTACGTCAAGACAAATGTTAAATTTCCAAAAAAAAAATCGAAATTTTTCAGCTCAGCACGCTGATGTGCAACACAACCATTATTTACGTTTTGCTTCCGTAGGGACATAAAACGCAAACCGATGTGGTATTTAGTTTCATATGTTTTAGAAAACCATAACGAGGAGGGGGGTGGGGGATGTCACATTGACCCACTCCCATATCACGGCAACGTTGGGAGATTTGGCTGATCATGTCTTCCTCTGAGATGATTCCCCATCGCTGCGCCAGAGGTTTGTTCCGTTATGTTGCGAGCATGCTGATAGATCTCAGACGCACGCTTGTGCTCAGACGTCTGCACGTGGTCTACGACATTTTTCGATTTTTCGGTTTTGAAGGCAACGCGGAACCTAAATGGACCTCGACGTATTGAATTTTTTTCGAAACTAGCTCTTAGTCATCATCTGACTCTAAAAAATTCTGCTTAACCATACCTAACAGCTTTTGACCTGCACAAGGTAAAGAAAAGAACTCTTCTGATTTTCTATTTTTGTTCTAGCGATTAGCAGCAGAGCTACTGTTGTCATCCCTCAGGAGCCTAGTGACCAGCGCCTAGGGGTAGGTCCCTTTTAGTTTCCGTTTCCTGAAACCAAATACGAAATTTCCCCGACGATGATCATATCCGCTCAAAGATTTTGTTTTTTCCGCTTGAGGATTCTTTTAATGTTATGACGAACTTGATTCCTTATCACGTTGTGCTTGGTAGACACATGGTCGGCTCAATCAGAATGAAGCACAATGCCGTGATATGTGGACTTGATGTTGAGCTTAGGTTCCATGACAGTAATGTTGTCATGCGTTGATAGGAATTGATTTTCATTTTTGGCCGAATCACTCGAGCAAGGTGCACAAAGCTAGTGCCAGAGTTCTCATAAGTGTCGTCATGCCGTCCATACGTAAGTGACGTCATGCCGTCCATAACTGCGAGCAATAAGAACTTGACTGTCATCTATTTGCATCACAGTGCTAATCTTCCTATGGGCTTGCAAGCTTGGATTATGCTAAAAACACTACGCGATAATGGTTCAAAAGCGGTAACCTTATAGCCACCAATCGGATTTCCGACGGGTCCAGATAGGCCTTGGCTGCCTTGCGATGAGCACCCCATGATCTGCTGACTGATTGCTAGTATAATTGTCGAATAAAGTGCCTTCCTCGGGCGGTCGTTGGAATGCTTGGCCGTTATTTGTGATAAATGGCAACAATGTCAGTAGGTTTTCATTTTCATACTATAATTATGTATTGTACTATTACTATGTTGTATCATTATACCGTGCGACGCGATCTTTCTGGTGTGCCGTCAACAGCTGACAAGTCATCGCAACCACCAGCACGCAACCACAAATCTGCTTTTAATTAACCGATTTAATCCTTCTTCCCCGCGCAAGTATTCCCGGTATAGGCCAGGTAATTTGAACGCATTTCTCGCGTCTGCAGGGGTGTGCACGGCTGTTTCCTTCAAGGTGTTTAGCGGCAACCGCTGGCGCTGAAGTTTGGTTATTCATTGCACTTACCTAAAAAAACAAGTTCTGCGATGCACGAAGACTGATTGCAACGCACCATCCCACGATGCGTCTTCGCCTCGAGGTTCACAATAGAATGGCTGCAGACTTCGCACTAATCTGCAGACTTGGCATTTATCTGCAGACTTCGCTCTTATCTGCACGCTTGGCACTAATCTGCAGACTTCACACTAATCTGCAGACTTTTCACTAACATTGGCCGCCGCTGTGTGCAGGTGTGCTGCTGAACGAGGGGCCCTCGTGGCTGGCGCAACGGCGCTTCGCACTGCACCACCTGCGTGACCTCGGTCTGGGTCGGACCTCGCTGGAGGTCATCGTGCAGCGTGAGATCGACACCATGGTGACCCGCATCGACACTCTGGGCAGCCAACCGCTTAAGGTCAACGGCCTGTTCAACGTGCACATCGTCAACGTGCTGTGGGAGATAGTGACGGGCAAGACGTGAGTACTGCACATCGTTAACGTGCTGTGGGAGATAGTGACGGGCAAGACGTGAGTACCGAGACCCGTGGGCGCAGAAAAACCGGCGTAGAGGATGGTGTCAGGCCCGCTGATGGCGCTGGCTGGAAGTTAGCCGCCGGAAAATATGCTCAGTGTTGTGTTGCGATAGTCTCGTTTATAACGCTTGTGCACATGCGTGTCGTCATATCAGGAAATATTTTTGAATTAAGCAGCCGATTTGACAGGTACTTCTAAACAGTACTAAAAGCTTCGCTGGGCTTCTCTTTACGATGGCTTGCTCTTGTCCCTTCAACCAATGCTGACCGCTATCCATCCATGGAAAGCTTCGACTGTCCCCAGTCTCCACTGGAGTTTGTGGCCTTAGAGACATTATCTGTCACATGACTCGACAAAAAACGGCAGCAAGTTTTTTATATTTTGCGAGTTATAGGCTGTTCACCATGGTAGTATTCTCCTGGGTTTCGTGTGCCAACGACATCATTCACCAATTTCCTGACGGCGATTTATATCCAGAAAGACTCGTTTTCTCATCCCTGCAACCCCAAGACCTTCTGTCTCGACTTTTGCAGTCGCTACAACCTCTCTCCTGTTACAGCACCATATCTCAGGGCATCGTGTGCTCTGATCTATATTGACGCACTCCTATCATGACACCCAAAACCCTCTACTCGGTCCAGATAGTTAGCTCTAATCTTAGCCTTGACCCACTGGCACTTGAGCAAAGGAATCCGTGATAAGAGAGGAAAGACATTAACACTGGGCTTTTGTTCCTACTTGACGACAAGAGGTGAAACTGCCCAATGCCGCACCGAGCAAGTATCATATGATTGCAGTACCACACCGTCCAGTTGGGCCACTGCGGCACCCGGCATCATACGCTGCTTTACTGATAATTGCCTCGTCTTTATTTTGCCTGGGTGCGCCCATGGAGCTCCATGTGGGTAGCTGAGGAGGACTCTCAGCACGTGCTCGACTGTGACAGGCCGTTGACCGCATTAGGCCGAGACGAGATCGTGGTCTTTCCATCGTTGAGCCTCTTGACCTTTGACCTGTGTCTGGTCTTATCTTCCGCTGAGTGAGCCCAGAGGCAGGGAATACCTGAGTGGATCATCCGCCAGCGTGCGTTGGCACCTACGGAGACCTTTGAGCGCTGTGAAAGATTACTTTTTGCGACGGCGATTGTGTTGCGTAGCAGATTTTACAAAACTATTAAAAATGTTGCTATTTGCCCGCAATTGTTGCAGAATTGACAACGCTGCTGCAACGCGCAGCCGATTTTACAAAGCATATTCAAAATGTTGTTGATTGGCACGAAACATCGGCAAGCTTAGCATTTGCGCTGACAGGATTGCCCTGTGTTGAATGGGACGATATGCTCATGCAACGCACAGTGTCGACATACCCGTCGTTTCTAGATGTTTTCGAATAACAACACCTTGCAAAGAACATCTCAGCCCACCGCTGACAATAAGTAAGCCCGCAGTAACCGTACAGGCCTGGTAACCTATGTTCACATATTACCCTGTGTGAACAGGTCTCGTACCCTTTTACTTGGGGTATGCTTCTACAAAGTGCGTTTCGCTAGAAGGCGAACTCTGAACGCTCAGTAACGGCGGCGATTAACAGCTGTCGACAAGCTTGAACGGCCAGATACCTTTTGATACCTTAGATACCTAAGATACCTTCATTGACCTTCTTCAGGTCAATGAAGGCTTTTTCTGCGAGCTTTAGGCTATTGAGCTATATTTGCTATTTTGAGTGCTGGTAGCCAACGCGCAATCAGCGGTGTATCGGTACGTGATAACACGGTAATAATATGATAGATCGGTATATGTAAATAACTAATAATAGTAAAGTAACAGGGTGATATATGAATATGTAATCAGTGGTGTCACCTAAACTGCTGTATCGGTAACAATCGCAACTGACCTGTCATAAAGGCCACCGGCTTGTCTTGACAATTGAAACATGCGACGTGCTCGTTTTCCAGAAAGTCGTCGAGTCAATGATTTTCGTTCGCGCTTTCGAAACCAAGCTATGCATGGTGTTAGGAAGTCTCCGTAGACGTCATGTTGGTGGATAATTTTCTCGGCGAATTACACATGATCGGTGTGCTGTCTTTATCTTCTGGTAACGCGATCAGGTTTGACATCGCTAATGGCTTGGTGAATTATGTATGTGCACTTGCCTGTAACATAAATAGCGTACCGTCCTCCAGTTTCACACAAGGACGGAGCTACCGGTTCACTCCACGCGAAGACCCACGATTCATCTCAAATCATCACTACACATCCGTACCATTAATTCCGTCCCAAATCGCGACGGAAAAAGCACTGAATGCCTCCAGCCACACCAATGAGACGCCCCGGCATGGCGTCCTGTTCCAGATTCGACCACGACGACCCGAGGATGCACCTGATCATGAACTCGCTGACGCTGTTCCTGCGGAGCACCTCCGACCTGAAGGGCGTGCTGCGGCTCTTCCTTGGCTCTGTGTACCAGCCGGCCGGCGGCCAGATGTACGCGGCCACGCTCGAGGCGCGCGACCAGCTCACCAAACTGTTCCAGGTGCGTGCGGCGGCGGCGACCAGCGCGGTTGGCTGGGACTTGCGTTTCGCGCGGAGAGCCTGGGTTCCATTCTCAGCTGAGGATGTTTTCGTTGAGCGGAGCTGGGGTCAGCGGGGTTGCCACGTGAAGACGTAAGTCGGGCGCCGCGTGGAGGAAGGTGTGCCTGACACGGTGTTGTGACGGCACTGTTTTCCAACTGCTGTTAACTGATCCGAACTGTAGCAGTGTTCTAATGTCAATGCTGATCAGGTGATATGGGTACCGAAGTGTTCTAATGTCAATGCTGATCAGGTGATATGGGTACCGAAGTGTTCTAATGTCAATGCTGATCAGGTGATATGGGTACCGAAGTGTTCTAATGTCAATGCTGATCAGGTGATATGGGTGCCGAAGTGTTCTAATGTCAATGCTGATCAGGTGATATGGGTACCGAAGTGTTCTAATGTCAATGCTGATCAGGTGATATGGGTGCCGAAGTGTTCTAATGTCAATGCTGATCAGGTGATATGGGTACCGAAGTGTTCTAATGTCAATGCTGATCAGGTGATATGGGTACCGAAGTGTTCTAATGTCAATGCTGATCAGGTGATATGGGTACCGAAGTGTTCTAATGTCAATGCTGATCAGGTGATATGGGTACCGAAGTGTTCTAATGTCAATGCTGATCAGGTGATATGGGTGCACCGAAGTGTTCTAATGTCGCCCAGAGGTCCCAAGTTGTTTCAGATGCGTGTTACAGAGGCGTTGTCTGCAGCTAAATGTCCTTGTGTTGTTTGCTTGTGACATTCAGTGAAATTTAAAGGAACGCATTTGACAAAACGAATGCAACGCCCCGGCGGGAGTTTTGCGAAGCTGTCCTGATTGTTTTCGAGCCTTGGTGGCTATTTTTATGAGCTACCTTAGATTGCACTTCCCTACACTTTTTAAAGACTTCCCTACCCCGATTTCTTTTTTTGACTTCCTTGGGTGTTTCGCCATAGATGCCCCTGACAGGTTTTTGATTTTCATCTTAGGTTATGCGTGGGATTGGGCTCAGCTTTTCTATTGTTATCTGCTGCATTGACAACACCCGACGGTTCGAGAGGCAAGGCTACGCTTATCTTGTCCACCTTTTAAGTTTCGCGTATTTTTAGCAACTACCAATTCAGCTGTTTCATGTGTTAATCAGTAAGCTAAATTGAAGCGCACAAATATGGGTGTCTTCGCGTCTGTCATTGGGGGTTGGGGGAAGTCGGGATTCGGGGTTGGCCAAAAAAGAAACCTTGGAGGTGTGCCTTGACCTGATTATGGTATTTTGGAGATAAAAAACTAGAGAACGTACATTTTTTGAAACAACTTAGGGTGACAAAAAAAAACTGCTAAATTTTTTAGGAGACATGTCCCCAAAGCCCCCCAGCAGTCACATCCACTCCCACAGCTGACATCACGCCAGGCGTAAAAGAGTGGAGGCTTGAGGCTGCTCGTCAATGTCTGGTTCTCAACTGAGGCCGAATGTGAAAATCTCAGCACAAACGATACTACAACAGCTCTGAGTTTTAGATTCCTGCTGTACAACAGCAGACAGCCCGAACCACACCATGTGAAGACGTAGGCATTTGTTGAAATCGCGGCAAATGTTTCCGACGTTTGAAAGCTTTTGGTTTGTGTAAAACAGCTGGTGAAGTAAAACCATTAGAGTGAATCCTAGCGTCATTGGCTAACGCGATTTCAAATCACGCATGGGCCGTGTACTTGGTCTGTCTATTGTGGTGACATTTTCCTCACGTTTTTTTCAGCATGAGATTAAGGAGCACCGAGCGTCTCTGGATCCCAAGCATCCGCGGGACTTCCTCGACATCTACCTCATCAAGAGTGACGAGGAAGCGCAAACATCAACCGAGTTTGATGGTACGGCTGATGGCACACTATTCACAAGCGATGAGGTTATATAATGCGATATGGTTAGGTTATGCGAAGTCGTCAGGCATGGTGTAACACATCATATGATTAATTCCATGTTTCTTGCCGCCACAGAAGCAAGCCGCTTAGGCTGTTGCTGACTTTGTCCTTTCTTTCCGGTGAACTTACCTTGCTTGTCGGTTATCATATAACTTATTAATCACTGACGACCGCAGATGGCGCTCGTAGTGACACCTGTTAACTTAAGTCATGCAATACACATGGTGCGGCTGCGACGCATCAAACTAAGCTATTAGTGAAACTTCTTGAGTTTCCCCCCCCCCCTTCCCTCGCAAATCCTGCAGACACCGCTGCAACCGTCCCGCCCGTCCTCCCCCCGTTCCCCCCCCCCCCCCCCACCGCCGCGCCTGACGCCCACCTCTGCCGGCAGACTGGGCGTTGTACGCCATGCTGCAGGACCTCTTCCTGGCGGGCAGCGAGACCACGAGCACCACGACCGAGTGGGTGGTGCTCTTCCTGCTGCGCAACCAGCCGGCGCTGAAACGCGTGCAGGCCGAGCTGCGCGCGCTGGTCGCGCTGGACGAGCGTGTGCAGCTGCGCCACCGCCCCAACCTGCCCTACACGGAGGCCGTGCTGGCCGAGACGATGCGGAGAGGGACAGTAATACCGCTCGCCATCCCGCACCGCGCCATCGAGGACATCCACGTGGCAGGTGCGGGACGTGCAGGAGGACACGGGACGTGCAGGAGTGACGTATAGGGGACCCAGGACGTGCAGAGGACACGTGACGGGCAGAGGACATAGAACGTGCAAAGGACACAAGACATGCAGGACACAGGTTATACAGGAGAGCACGTGGCATTTAAGAGGGCACAGGGCATACCAGAAGACGCCGGGCATGCAGGGTTACACGGGACATGCAGGGCGTAGGATACACATGAGAGATACTGAAGATGCAAGACACTCTGCAGTGGGAAGGGCGCAGGACTTGCGAGAGAATGAAATACGCAAGGACAATGGGATATGCAAGGATACACACAACATATTCACACACACACACACACACACACACACACACACACACACACACACACACACACACACACACACACACACACACACACACACACACACACACACACACACACACACACACACACACACACACACACACACACACACACATCCACAGAGACACTGGGCATGTGGGCACAAAAGGCTACCGTTTGGTAACACACAGGGCTTTTAGAAGATCACGGCACATACAGGACACAGCATATGCAGAGGTTTATGTGCGCGTGGGGGGGGGAGGGGAAGTACAAGCCACGTGACGTAGGGAGGACACCGGCGGGCAGAAGGCGCACAGAACATGCAGGACACGTGCCAATGGGGAGAACACCAGGCAATGAAGACACAGAGCTTTGCAAGGGACATATTACATGCAGGGCAAATACATGTAGGACACATAGCATGCAGGGCAAAGGGCATGTAGGGCACATGACATACAGGGCACAGGACATGCGGGACACAAGACATGCAGGACACAGGCCGATGGGGAGGACACACAGAAATCAAGACAACGACAATGGAAAGAGCACAGGACATGCAGGACACAACGCATGCAGACCACAAGACAGTGCAGGAGGGACCTGGACGCCGTGAACTTCCTCTTGTCTACCTATGGCTTCCGTGCGCTCGTCAGAATGTGCGGAATTTAAAGGAACTGAACCGTCTTTGCGTCACTCATCTTTCAAGCTCTGCTTGATGCGACGACACGACCAGCTGCACGCTGGCAAGGCGTCAACTTTGCTGACGTCCGAGCACTTTCAGGCTACACCATTCCCAAGGGCGCCTGGATCCACCCGAACGTGCACGCCATCCACCACGACGACGACTACTGGGGCGATCCGGACACCTTCCGGCCGGAGCGCTTCATGGCCGGCGACAATTTCGTGCCGGACAAACACCTGATTCCCTTCGGCATAGGTGAGTGCCGAGCGACCCCGTATGACGTCAGCAGTGACGTCAGGTGGGCTCGGCGCCCGGCGGTCGGCGCTGACGTTGGGAAGGCACGCGAAGTGCTGCACTTACATGAGCTGTTCGTCGACAGCTGCACTGACAAACTTGGTTTGGAGTTGTTTAAAATGAATGAGATCGTTTGAAAAACACTACGAATGTTAATAAAGAGTATTTCAACAAGGTTCTTCAGCCATTTAAGTTGCTTCTTTCTTCAGGTGAACAGAAGACAACAACGCGGCCCCCATTGAATATAACACTTCTTTACCCTGTCCGGCAGGCAAGCGAGCGTGCATGGGCGAGTCTATGGCGCGCCATGAGAGCTTCCTGTTCATGGCGAACCTGCTGCACAAGTTCGACATCACGGCGCCGCCGGGCGAAGGCCCGCCGCCGCTCGTGTTCGACCAGGGCGTGGTGGTTGGTCCCGGACCGTTCCGAGCGTGCTTCAGGCGGCGGACCTAGCGGGGAGGACCAGAAGACCTGGGTGGGGAGGGGGGACAGCGAATGACCAGGAGGCCTGGGGGGGGGGGGGGGGGCCTGGGGGAGACCGGGGGAGCCAGTGGCGGACGGATGGGGATTTCACGTGACCAGTGGTACCTGGGGGGGGGGGGGGGGGGACGGGGAGATTGGGGCCTGGCGGGACCAGGGGGAGTAGGGGATCGCGAGAGCCTGCAGGACCAGGAGGACAGGGACCTGGCGGGACACAGGGAGACCAGGAAAATGTGGGGAATGGGAGACCCCGCGGGAACGACTCAAGGACTTGGGCCAGTGGGTACATTGTCCAGTGGGGATGCTGAAACCGTGGGCGCTGGCCACGGGGCCAGGCAATGAAAAAAAGACCCAGCATTAGCGATTGGCGAGTCTCATGTGTTGAACCTAAGTTCGTCACGGACCTGGAAATCTAACAACACACACTTCGGTGCGTAAAAGCAGGCTTGCTTGGGACAGAGACAAAAGAGGACGGACGTAGAAGAGTACTCCAAAATGCTTTTTTGGTGGGATCTGAGGTGGTCTGGGAACAGCGACATGCTATTTCAACGATAAAATACAGATGTGCGGGGTCAAGTTAGCGGTATTTTGTCACGTCTTTCGCGAGAACGTGCAGTGCAGGATATCTGTGATGCAGCACCGCATTTGGCGTTGACGAGTGTAATTCTTTCTTCGCGTGGTCTTCAGAAGCGGGGGGGGGGGGGGGGCGCAATACCTGCGGCCACGTTGCGCACTGACCGACCGATATTAGGCAGCTGTAGTTGTCTGTTGTGGATGAACGGCATTATCGTATACAGTGATGCCAAGGAAAAGAACAAGGCCATTCGCTCTCGATGGACATTCCCTCTTGCCCTGCTTTGTCAGCATGTGTCATCGTGTTGCGTTGCTGGAGCGCGTCGTCATGTTGCATTGTTGAAGAGTGTTGTCGGCCACGTTCGTGTGCCATTCGATAAGGTAATGTGATCAGTGTACCACTGTTCATGCTCCGTGTGGTGTAAGTTAAGTATTGCTGTATCACTGATTGGCCGTGGGTTGTAGGTCGATGACTTTCATATCATATCTTACTTTCCGCCACGCTTTATGTATTTTGAAGCGGACCGTTTATGTGATAGAGCATGCATTGATCAAACATCAAGTTCGGCGTAGTTCACACATATTTAGAAATCACTACACGTGGATGGGTTATTATGCAATTACATGCATGTTACAGGGTAAAACGCGGCAAACGGTGCACGATAACACAGACAAACCCGCTCCGAAGGCTCCGAGCCAAAGTTGGCGGGCCCCAAGATGCTTGTCCAGTAGCGATAACGAGCCTGCTCGGCTCCAGAAGGCGGGGGTGTTCGACGGTAAGCAGTTCCGGGACGAGGCCGCGCGTTATGAAAAAACCGGCAAGGCGTTGGCAGCAGAGAGCGAGCTGTTTCAGAGCACCCGCCACAGTCGACCACGTGACGGGCTCACTCACGGCACAAGATGCATTTCGAATGCATTTCCGGTCACGCACTCTACTCACAGATTCGAAAAGTACAAATTACAAAAAAGTAAAAAAGACTATTTTCCCGCGCATGCAACATTAAGGGTTATCTGCTAGCCGCGGTGCCCGGTGTAAACGCACATACGATTTGTTTGCTCTCCAGCCCTACAACATTCGTGCCGTCATTGAACGTTGGTGCATCCAAAATTGCTTTTTTAAGCTTGATCACATTCTATTAATTCTCGAACATCCTCACGTTTACATTTCTACTTGTGTTGTGTTTGAACAATCACGCAAGGACATACACACCGCCCTGGGTCGCGACAACGCCACCTCCAGCCGCGGGCGCTGCCGCGCGAGCCACCGCGGCAACCATCGCGGGGCAGCATCCGCCGCCCGCCTGCCGTTCGAGCGCGCGAGCCGGCCAGCTATTGACCCCACCAGGGGGCGGGGCTGACCGCCGCGGAGCGACGTCCGCCGCCGCCCGCCGGCCGCGCGAGTGCGCGAGTCGGCCAGCTCTAGGATTCGTCAGGCGGCAGGGCGGGATAGTCAGCCACGCCCTCAGCCGGCAGCCCGGCCCCACAGCTCCCTCTGAAGGGCAGAGCCAGACGGCTACGGTGGATAATCGACACAAGAAATGACAGCATTCAGAACGATGGCATACACACTCACCAACACACCTCCTCATGCGCATACGCAATCCAACACCAAAAGCTATGTGCCCGGTACTAACGGTAGTTTATCACTGACTGCCTCATCCGCGCGACAGCAGTGCTCCTCCACTGACGTGGTGCTCAACCAGGCTGTGCTCAACTGGCTGTGCTCAGGCTCAACCAGGCTCAACTGGCTGTGCTCAGTGCACAGCCAGTCTCTCCAAGATCAGACCCAACATTGCTACGCATTAGCCGCAACAAAAGTGCGCCTGGTGCACGCATATATACTACATAAGCCTGTGTTTTATGGGGACCCGTAATTTCCCAGAACTTAAGCAATGAGCTTCGGGAAAATATAGAGAAAAGCAAATGGAAGCTGATTTCCAGCTTGCAGCGCACGTAAATGTAGGTAGCCCCTCCACAGCAAAATAGGCCAGACCACTTATTAGCACGTCGACTACAATCGCAGCCATTCAAAACGTCTCGCCAGAAATACCGCCGTGTTATCAACGGCGTTCTTTAAGCGGCAAGTATCCACAGCTCGCGGTGGTGCGGCGGGATTGCGAACAACCAACCCGTGGGAAACCAGTTAATCCGATTCCAGTGGCACTCGAAGCGCTCGCCGAAATCGCTTCCGCATGAATAGGCGATCTTCAAAGACCTACTGGCACAAAATTTGACCACGTGACCTGCTGCTCGACAGACTGAGACAATGACCAACCACCGGACAGGCGGTGCGCCATCCGCTGTTCGCCCCCTGCGGCTCGTTTGACGGGGATGCGATCCGGGACGTGACGTTCCGCACGTGGTTTGCTCGCAGACAATGCGGCGCTGCCACCGGGTCCTGAGCTTCATGGGCAGTCGCTCACTGGGCAGGCTCAGGGCTTTCAAACTGCGGCGTGCTTAGGCTGGTTTATCTGCTGCATGCAGTGGCCATTGGGTCAAACGCTTTGATGAGACGACAAACGGGACATTGCTGTTAGACGCAGTTTTGATGTAGTCTAAATCGATTTATGACGTGAGTAACGATGATCAAATTCATGAAGTGTGGACACATGTGACGAAGCGCTTCGCATAGTCCCGAATGCCCTTGCATCATTGTTTGAAGTAAACGGAAAAACTATAAGCACCTCTTATGTGAAACACTTCCCTGGAAAACTAAAAACGGACGAACTATTACTGGTTGATCTCGCCGTTTTTCGTTAAGCAGATGCAAGGATCTGCAAGTCGGTGCCGACGTTAAGGACGTGCGGGGGGGGGGGGGGAGAGACGTGCACGCAGAAACCGACGCAGCAGACGCACAACGCCCGACGGCTCGCGCAACAGCAGCAGCAGCTGTAGCCAGCTGGGCGGGAGCGTGTGGCATTACTAACGCGACCGACTGTAGCAGCAGCAGTGGCAGCAGTGCAGCGTTTTCGCCAGAGCAGAAACCGAAATATGGACAACAGCAGCCTCGGCGTCCTGCCCCCCCCCCCCCCCCCTCCCCTTCTGCAACGAAAAAGGTCCCAGACTTTTTCTTCGTGTTCCGAGCTATAACACTATCACCCTGTTAAATTTCGGTTTCGAATTGCTGTCTTTCACAGAAGGTCAACGGCAAAACGAGCCGTTGAGCTGGGTGCGCACTTGTTCGTCGTGTGCCCACACGGCCACCGGCGTACAATACAAGAATGATTCTGCGTCACGGCCCGGCACGCGCTGCTATAAGAAATCAGCGGGAATGTCAGCCGAGCCTCGTGTCACGCGGCGCCGCCAAGCGGCGCCGACTCGTAGAACCCCGCTGGGTCAACGTTGGGGGTCGGGTTTTCTGCCGGACGAGGGCAGCTGCACATCTCGGTCCCAGCCGCTGACGAGTGATGACGAGGCCGCAACCGCTGGCTAACGGGGTCTCCTGTCGCGGTTCCAGCCGCTGACAAGTGATGACGAGGCGGCAGCCACTGGCTGGCTGGCTTATTCTGTTGCGGCCTCTGCACCTTTCCAAACCGGGGGCAGGTTTTTCTGTTGCGGGGTATGACAGTGGCGAGGCCAGACGGCGCATGCAGAGGCATTTATAGCTTCACCACTCAGCGTATTGGATTTAGGGCCTGACACGCCGGGTCTTTGACAGAGCAGACATCTGGTCTTGCATCAGCTGATATGAGATATGAGTGGGGGTAGCAAGCAGGTGAGGTGGAACGATAGCGAAAAGGATCGGGTCACTAATATGACAGACTCTTAAGATAGGAGCCAGAATGAACGATTGGCAGTTCAGGTGACACAAAAGCTTGCTAAGGAATTATAACGATGATCGGAATGCATCTACCGACACGTGCAACTGAAAGGACTTGCGTGACTTATCAACCAGACTCATCCGAGGCCAAGGAGGTCATGACCACAGTCTTTCTAGATCAGTGCCCGCACCCGCCCTTTTCAGGCTCTCCCTTAATCTACAAGCTAAAAGCAAAGTGCGTTGCCGACATAAAAAACAGCCACAGCGAATGCGTACAAAATTGGTGGTCGGTCTTCTTTATCAAAACCCCGCCTGAGCTCGGCCCTTGCGCGCAGCATGCGCGAATCCAGAAGCAAAGGTAACACGTAGTTCGAACGCCTCATTGTCTTACGAATCGTCCTCAACATCGTTTCGCTATCGGCAATTGGGCGCCCATCGCTATACAAGACATGCTGTGCGGCTGGCATCGCAAAGGTGACGAACGAACCTCGACGCTGTGCCACCTAGAGGGTTTGTAGCCGGCCTTCAAACCCGACCCCGTCTACAGTCTTCAGTATTCCACAAGCCTTTCCAAAGCTGGACCACCCAGTACAGTGGTGCTGGAGTGGATTCGGTGAGCTCCTGGGCAGGAAGCAAGTCAGCAAGGTGAAAGACAACCGGTCACA